GTGTGTGTGTGTGTGTGTGTATGTGTATGTTAGACTAGTTTAAGTGTTTATGTAGTTAATAAAGTCTTACTTGTATCACACTTGACGTTGTTCATTGTTTGCTCATAACTGGAGTCACTTAATCATGCAGATTTATGCTACAAGCTCTTTGTAGAATTGTACAGTAAGAAAGTTATTTCCCTTAACCAGGAAATTAACGTTCTTAGAATTGACAGACAGTTGACCCTGAGAGGTCAAGTAAATACTTACAGCGGATCTAAATATTTATAATTAATTATAACTAGTTATGAATAATTATGCATATTCCCCCTTTGAGCTGATTCGCTACAGAATGGTGGAGAATGCAGGCATGATAAAACAAAGGTTATGAGCTTAAAACACTGTCAACCTAAAAGTGTGTGCTTGATAGTCCAGGTTAGAATAGGGTGTGACTTGAGATACGCATTTGTGTCCATATTTGCTGGATTGTTTAAATGCAGATAAAGTAGGGGCTTGAATTGGTACCTCTGTTATGATTGAAAGAGTCTTTATGTATTTCATGCTTAATGGTATCAGTGTAAGGTTAATCTGATTTTAGCGAAGAAACCCTAATTTCAGTATTAAAGCATAAGTCTGTTCTCTACTGGTAAGGAATTATTGGCCTGAAACACAAAAGAAAGTTCTTAAAGCAACAATACCACTGAACCCACAGTGCTTTATAACCTTTTTTTAATTATTAGCAGTTCTTCTCAGTAACTTGCATAAATCTGTTTTTTGCAACCACTGGCAGCGTTTTAAAAAAGACTCTTAAAGAGCTGATGCTGTAGCGAGCATTTTCTTGATTTGTTTTCTGACAGGGAGGTCTTGTTCTGCTCCCATTGTGAAAACCACACTTCTGTTCATTCTGGGTTTGCAACCACTTTTGGCAGTACAAATGCTGAGCCATTGCCAGCTGTGATGAGAGTCAGTTCTCGTATATTTGATTTAAGTGGTGTTCAAGAACTGTAATATTTTACCCCATGATCTTTTTTCTCAGTTCTTACGCTGTGGTTTCCCCACTGCTTTTTGAAGTTGCTATTTTGTTTAAAACACATAAATGATCCAAGAACAATTTAAGTGTTTTCTCCTAAATGCATGGCTGCATGTTGTACTTGTTTCTTCAGTTTTAAAAATGGCACATGAAAATGGTGCTGTTGCATTAGGTTCTGTGCATAATTTGCTTTAAACCATCTCATACCATTACCAAGACATGTTTTAGATCTCAGAAATAAAACCATTTTCTCTCCATAATGTTTGTGGTTGATAGTATGTTTCTGGAGTGGCGCATTGCCACAGAGAGAGGTATGTCCTAAGATGATAGCCTTGACTGAACTTCCCCACAATTTGTTGATATGCAAATTTGTTATTTCATGGCATTGCTGATTTCTTGATTTTGATTGGCTGACAGACATTTTAAGGTGTTTATTAATTTTCTGTTGCTGCATGTGTGTAGTAGTTCCAGGTTTGACCACATTTTAGGGAAACCAATATATACAGAATCATTTACTCCAGACCATTGAATTATGAAAAAATTGTGAAAAATCAAAATGTTAAAACAAAAATGTAATAAAATAAAAGAATTCACTAAATTACCAGTATGGTGATTTTTTTTTTTTTAGAAATCTGGTATAAAACCCTTCCCACTCTTCAAGAACTGCATTCATCCAGAGTGAGTAAAAGAGCTGGCAAAATCATTCTGGACCCCTCATACCCAGCCCACTTCCTCTTTGAACTGTTGCTGGCTGGTCGGTGCTACAGAACACTGAGCACCAGAATGACCAGGCCAAAGAACAGTTTCTTTCGTCAGGCAATCCATATCATGAACAGCTAACATGACAATAAACGTGTAATACACAACACTCTTTTATACATTTATTTAACACCCATACCTCTTTTTACATTCCCTTGCATTTGTACATAATACACCTGGACACACAAATACCATCTACTGTCTACTTTGTATATTGTGTGTGTGTGTGTATATATATATATATATACAGTGCCTATGAAAAGTATTCATACCTCTTAATTTTTTCACTTTTTATTATGTTACAACCTTATGCTAAACTGCTTTAAATAACTTTTTTTCCACATCAGTCTACACTCCATACACCAAGACAAAGCAAAAAACTAATTTGTGACAACTGTACTTAGTTGAAGCCCCTTTACAGTCTCAAGTCTTTTTGGTATGATGCGACAAGCTTTGCACATCTGCATTTGGCAATTATCTGCCATTATTCTCCTCCCCTCTTCACCTCTAAAGCTCTGTCAGCTTGGATGGGGGCTGGCAGACATTTTCAGGTTTCTCCAGAAATATTTCATTGGGTTCAAGCTCAGGCTGTGGCTCGAACACTCAAGGACGTTCACAGAGTTGTTTATAAGCCACTCTTGCTGTGTGCTTAGGGTCATTGTCCTGTTGGAGGGTTCTTTAGGTGCTTTGTTGCAAATTCCAAGTGTGTTTTCATGTGTCTTCACTAGGGCTGAACGATTAATTGCATTTGCGATAATATCGCAATATGAAAAAACGCGATTTTTCAATCGCAGAGGCTGTGATTACACTCGGTCATGTGACACACGAGAGTAAAGAGGTGTGTTCGACTTGAAGATCGATCAGTGTATGACATCAAAGTACGGTGAGAGAAAGCATAAGCAACAGGGTCTGGCTGCAGACTTGCACTTGCACTGTCAGACACTTGCGCTTCCGCAATTGACGTCACTTGCAGTCTTTATTTTTATTTTTGTTCTATTTATTGGTTGTTTTTTTGTTTGAATCTCTCATCATTTTACAACAGTAGCCAGGTGGTGAAGACAAGAAAAAAGAAACTAAATTACAATGTCACTTGCACTCTCCGCTACCTGCGACATCACTTGCAATCGACACAAATCGGTATGGGAGGAAAATACTATACACATATTCATTATATTAATAGACTGTATATTGAATTGTATATTTTAATAGCATCTTAATACATTAAGCCATATTATGTGTTTGTTTTTCTATGGGAGGAAAATGCTTGACGAGAGACTTTGTGCATTGCGTTCATATTCTGCTGTTCTGTGGCCACGGATTTGCGGGTCT